AAAAAAATTTATTGATAAAATATATCAAATAGAGATACACAAATCGTTGGGGTTGTTTTCTGAAGAGCCAAGTAGTTAATAAGTATTATTACAACAATAATGAAAAAAAGTTTTGGCGCTTTTTTACCTTGCAATATTTATATAATAGTTACGGACAAGTTAGAATTTTAAAATCCATTATTCGATAATTTTATCAAAAATATTACTACAATGCTCCGTAAATACGTAATACGTGTCTGTCGTTGATCGTAATTCGACACTTCTGTGTTCGAATCCAGGAAACTGCACTCGCTAGTAGTGGATTATTTTGTGAGGGTAGTTTCTCCAACTCTATACTAATGCGAAAACACGTATGTATTACAGTGATTCGTAGTGTTCGTAAACTATACCATACTACGCCAGGGAAGGAGAAATACCACATACGAAAGTGAAAGCGATATTAGGTTTAAAAGAAATAAAAGAAGTTGGGAGAGTATGTTCTAAAAGAATTAAATTTGTTCGACAAATGCATTAAGTTTGAATTATTTCATATAACAAAAACGTGCAATTTTGCTAAATTTAATTATGAAAAATACTAAATTAAATATTATAAATTTATAGAGACAATTATATTTTTATCCTGAAGTCTCCTGTAGAATTTTATTCAAAGAGTGTATCAAAGTCATAAAATTTTATGTAATTCTTTAACCGTAGGTATTATCTAGCCCGTAATGTATTGTTTACTTTAATACTATTAGTGAAGTATCTACTATAACTGAAAATAAGTCAAAATTCGGTTTAGAGAGTTCTAGGTTCGATACCCACTTCGGACAGACTAATGTCAACCAGTAGTGATATCGGTTTTCACTTGCATAAAATTAGATGAAAATTTGTTTCCATCTATAATGGCCTTTGAAACATATTGTTGGTATCAAAAATATATCATTTTTAACTTCCCGTGGGGTAAATTATAGTAAGGGGGCCCAAAATCAATAAAGAAAATTCGTGCAATCTTTACGTTTCAGAGGTTTCTGAACATTTTGGCATACCTCAGAAAAAATTAATGTGTGTGTTTTGTGTGCCCGCAATTTTTCGTCCACGTTTTCGGGCGCACGGATTAACCGATTTGAATGGTTTAAAAACATTCGATTCATATTGATAGAGAAATGTGCTGATTGGTTTGTGGCGTAGGAGCTAAATGTGAAAAATATGGCAGTTTTTGAGAGAACTAATAGTCCGATTTGAATGGTTCAAAATGCTTTCTGCTTGTGTTGACAAAACAAGTACTTTTGGCAAAAAAAATTATTCCAATTTTTTTTTTCAAAAGAATTTTTTTTGTATATCGAAAATAATTCAGATTTTAATTTTAATTCTGGCTAAACTTTTAAAAGCTCACTTATATAATTTTAAATAATTTTAATTTTGCTTACTATTCAGTTTATATAATTCTTATAAATATTAGACAATGTTACAGTATTTATAATAATCTATTTGAAAATATTTAATATTTCTCAAGTATTTCGTTACGGTACCCAGCAATTTGCTTTAAGGCATGATGCCATACACCACTAGTTAAATATATTTTTTATTGCAAGACTTGATATTATTTTACAAGACTTGATTAAAATAATATGTATTTTATTTCAAAGTCTTCTTAAGATAAACAATGTGATGTATGTAAAATATGTACACAAAGTTAGAAAAGAAGTTGTACACAAAGTCCGCCACATACATACTGATAAATTTATATAATTCTGTAGTATAGCAATATTAATTATATAAATTGATTATTTATATATCTGCACAGTATGTAAATATATTCACCTAACATATATAGAAATTCCTTCTATAGAAATCGTATTATTCATATTCATTCAAGTGTTGTTTTAGCATTAATTCCTATATAAAAGTTCCAATAAGTTTATAAATCATACTATAGCTGAACTATGATTGCTCGATGGTTAAATAACGAGGAATTATAATAAATAATATTTACTAATAATCACATGAGATTATTGCCCTAATATTTGGTTCAATCTCCAAAAAATTTCAAAAACACTTTGAATTGTATGTAATTATGCGATTCTAATCATGCAAATATTGCATATACTTTGACTTGCGCATTGTGTTTTTATTAGATTTAAAAATGATTTTTTTTAAATATTTTGAATTATGCATATATTATTTTTTTAAAAACAAATATTCAATAGTTCGACAATAATATTGCAATTAGTATAATTATTGT